ACCCCGCCCCACCCTACCCCCCAGGCGGCATCAACCCTGACGTGGCCATCGAGGCCTACACCATGAACATCACCACGGTCGCGGGCTTTGACGCGTTCAAGGCCTCCGTCACGCAGCCGGGGCGCCCTGACGCCAGCCGCGTGGACCTCATCCTGTCCTGCGTTGACAACTACGAGGCGCGCATCACCATCAACCAGGTGCGCAGCTCGGGGGCGGCCGCCGCTGGCAGGGAGGGCAGGACAGCGGGAGGCTGGGACGAAGAGCTCAGGGTGAAGGGAAGAGGAGGGTGGGGCCGCAAGGGGGATGGCCGGGGGGTTTAGGGAGGCATAGTGCAAACACCTAGCCCATATGCACCCACGCCCCGCCCTGTTGGATGGTGGCGCCGCTGCCCCGGCTCCCTGCGCCTGCGCCCCGCTCCCCCAGGTCTGCCTTGAGCTGGGCCAGACCTGGATGGAGAGCGGCGTGAGCGAGGACGCCGTGAGCGGCCACATCCAGACACTCATCCCGGGGGAGAGCGCCTGCTTCCAGTGCGTGCCGCCGCTGGTGGTGGCCAGCGGCATCGACGAGCGCACCCTCAAGAGGGAGGGCGTCTGCGCGGCCAGCCTGCCCACCACCATGGGTGCGCGAGTGCGCGCCGCCTTGGTGCTGGGAAGCGGGGGCGGGCGATGTCGCCAGGAAGCAGCTATTCTAAGGGGCCTGGACCCACTGGCGGCTCTCGGCACAGCCCATGACCGCTCAGCCCACGGCGGTCGCGGCGGGTGCATCTCCCTGATGCACACGGTCACGCAGCTTCTTGCGGAGACTGCCTCGGCCGCATGCAGGGCCTTGCCCGCACCTCAAAATAGGCGCTTTGCGCTGGATCTGCCCCGCCTGCTTGACACCCCACACCACAAACCTCCCGGCCCCCAGGCATCGTGGCTGGGCTGCTGGTGCAAAACACCCTCAAGTACCTGCTGGACTTTGGCACTGTCAGCCATTACCTGGGATACTCCAGCCTCAAGGTGGGGCGGGCAGCGATGGCGGGGCCCGCCACAAGGTTGCGCCACCGCATGCACCTCGCTGGACTGCGTTGTGCTCTCATTCAAGGTCCGCCCCGGCTCCCCCACAATCCAACTCCCAGGACTTCTTCCCCACCATGGCGATCAAGCCCAGCGTCGCCTGCGTCAACTCGCGCTGCGTCGATGCCCAGCGCGCGTATCAGCAGCGCGTCAACTCCCCAGAGGCCATCGCAGCAGCGGCAGCGGCGGCGGCAGCAGCGGAGGCGGCGGCCGCAGCTGAGGGGCCGCTCCACGAGGAGAACGATTGGGGCATTGAGGTCGTCGCGGAGGACGGCGCGGGCGGCAGCGGCAACCCCGGCGCGGCTGCGGCGGGCGTGGCCGCCCCTGCAGCATCGGCGGCGCCCGCGGCGCAGGCGCTGCCCGAGGGCCTGGACTTTGGGATGCCGGTGGCGGGGGGCGTGGACGCCGCGACGCTCAAGGCGGAGGGTGTTGAGGCGACAGACGCCAGCCTGGACGACCTGGCGGGCATGCTGGCTTCGCTGTCTGGCGGCACGTCGTAGTGGCGTGGGCGCGGCCGGAGCAGGATCGGCCAGACGAGGACGCGTCGGGGGGCTGAGAACTGCAGCTTGCGTGCTGGGCTTTGACCTGGCGTGGAGGCCTTGAATGATTGAGTGCGCAAAGGCGCTGGTCGTCCATTGTTGGCGATTTTGATGGGATGTGCAGGCATCAACCAACATCTCGAAGCGCCGCCCATGAGCTCAGCAGATGCGGCGTCCAGCTTGAGCTGGTGCGTGGTGCAGCTGCTGGCCCTGAGAGAACACCGAAACTTGTGCGCTGACAAAAACTGCAACGTTCTCAAGTCAAGCTCATGATAACGTTGTCGTAAATATACACGTTCTCGCCCGTCAAACGGTTTCGTCCTGCAATCGCCGACTTACGCTTAGCGGAGTGTGCCGCAGCTGAGCGTGTACAATGCGTGATAACAAGTGGACGGCGTCCTTCTGCTTGTTCGTGGCAGCTCGTGTTGTGCGGTAGCGAGGGAAGCCGCAGCACTGTGTGCTGCAGTGGCGCTGCAGCGCATACTGTACAGTGACCCAGGATAGGGCCAGAGACCAACATCACATCCGACCGTTCACAAGATGTACGATCTTTTCAGCACCAGGCTGAGCAGGGCCTGGGTGGAGCGAATCGAGCGGGAGCGCTTGGAGCAGGAGCGCTTTCTGGCAGCGCGTGCAGCCCTGCAGCAGCGGCAGCAGCATCCACAGCAGCTGCAAGAGGAGGCGCAGCCCGTGCGCCAGAGCACTCCCTCTGGCTCCAGGCCGACCACACGCACCCCAAGCACAACATCGGCTGCAAAATCGCGCAGCAGCGTCGCCCACTCCTGCCTCTCGAGCCGGAGCAAGGCGACTGGGGTGCATGCAGTGGGCAGCAATGTGGCTTCCGCGTGTCCTACCGGTGCCACATCAAACACCACGGTTAGACACGTGGCGTGCACTGGCTAGTAGGCTGGCGCGAGCTGAAGGCGGGCACATGCAGCACAACCGCTTCAAGGCGTCCTGTGAGGAGCAACGCGGGTGCACACCCTCGCACATGCACAACGGCGTGGTGCACCCATCGCAAAATTATCAACAACACCAACCTCAACTTCCCTCCCCTTGTGTTTTCCGTCCACTGTCGTTTTTATAGGCACTGGTGTCCAGACTGCAGCAGCTTGAGGAGCAGCTGCACGCGGAGAGGCGGCGCCGTGCAGAGCTTGAGGCGCGATTGAGGACAGTCAACACCACCACGCCAACAACCAACCCAGCGGCCGTTTCGGTGGTGTCCAGTGGCTGATGTTCCCCATGAGCTCGGCACATGCAGTGCGCTTGCGGAGCTGAAGCAGGCAGAAAGGAGCGCCCACCCGCTCGCAGCCTCGTCAGCTTTTAGTAGGCATGCCCAGTTTGTAAAACAATCATCAAAATGTTTTGTCACAGTCCAGGTGCTAGTGAAATTCATTGGTACCGCGGCAGCCGGCGAGCTGCGTGGCGGTGGGCTGCCATTTGCCTTCGGCCACTCAATCGTCGCCCTTGTCTGCCAGGATGCCCATGCATTCCTTGTACATTTCACACCGCAAACATGCATCTTCCTCACTGAGGGCTTGTGGCGCCAGCATGGTAGGACCTGGATGATGTGCACCGGCTGAGGTGGCACCGCCCAGTGGCGGTCGGGTCGTCTCAGCGGCTGCCATACAAGGGCGTACATGGCAAGCGCCTCAGCACTAAGACCGCAATATTGATGCAGCTTAACGCTATTATTGCCTTTTCCTAATCTCGCGAGGTCGGACGCATCCAAACATGTTGCAACAAGGCTGCCGAATGATCAGCAGTCTGCAGACGAGCCTGCTGCAGACCAGCGCGCGATGTATAATCACAAGCGTCCATAGTAGCAGTGAGTAAACGACACGCCGCACCCTTTTTTAATGTAGCCTCGGAGTGCCAGCCGCGTACATGGCCTAGCTGATTTCACCCGTGGCCCTGCTTGCTCCTCGCAGATATGCAAACGTACACCTATGCATCTCCAGGTGCGACTGGTCATTTAGCCTTGCGGCCCGCCTTTGCAGGCGCGTCTGCAGCGCCACCTCAGCAGCGGTTGAGGCAGGCAGTTGTGCCTGTGGCGCGCGTGCTTTCGCGCTCGTGGTGAGCACCATACAAGATCAGGAGTGCATGCAAGTGTCGCCAGGACTCATTCAATTTAGATGCCCCAACGAGTCGTGAACGTTCGCTTCAAGTATCACACGCTCCGCCCCCCCCCCCCCTCCCCCCAAACGTTACCAGGGTCCAGCATGACCGAGCCGTGCTACTTTAGCGAAGGGGCCGCGGCCGCAACCAACAGCGAGGGTGAGGGCCGGGCCGTCGGCACCCTGGGAAAGCTGGTCAATCGTGTGACCCCCCGGAAGAAGGCCGCCATGCTCAAGGTGCTGAGCACGCCACGCCGCAAGCTGGTGGACCAGGGTGCGGGCCTGCAGATGCTGCCCCCCGGCTGCAGCATCAAGGAGCCCTCCTACAGCATCAAAGTGAGGCTCACGCATGGCGTTCATTGCGCCTGGGTCAGCTTACGCTTCTGTTGTCACCGGGCTGCGCTGTGCATGGCGTGAGTGGCCAGGGCACAGGGCACCCTGACCCAATGTTATTTGCAGTGCCTGGTGTGAGCGGGCGGTGCTTGTTTTCCGTTTGGCAAATTACGCCCATCTTCCCATGCACACCGCCCTCCCAATGCCGCAGGATCCAGTGTACTTCCAAGATTGAGGGGATATAGATTTCAGGGCTGGTAAGGGCCAGGAGCGCATGTCTGCGGCAGCATGGGATCATCAGTTTGACGGGCAAGTGTGCCCTTTTGGTTGGGGCATGTTGGCAGGGACTGCAAAAGCGACAGCAGTGGTTGTTGACCAGGCGCGTTTGTTGCATCGATATCTGGTAGTTGATTACATGTGACTGCGCGCTTGTGGTGTGCAACGGTGGCCATCTTTATGCACCCTGCACTGCACCTGTACTTTTGCAGATGTAAAAACTATATGGGTTGCTAACAGTAAAGCAAAGACAAAACAGGTAGCAAAGCCCGGCTTTAGCATCAGCCTATCGGAGCCGTGCACCGCATCCGGAATGGCCGCACCAGGCGCCACCCCCTCTTGTTAGCCTCGTTGGCGGCGTGAACTTGCGCCGTCACGACTCAAAGACGCGGAGCATCTTCTCAATCCTCTTTGAGCAGCCCGGCTGGGGGCAGGGGTCACCTGGGCAGCGCCCGCGGGGTGAGCGAGCAAGCACAGTTGGATTGAGCCGTCCCGCCATGTGTGGAGGGAGCAGCAAGTCGAGGTAGTGTCGGCAGCAAGCATCACGTGTGTCAACCGCTGCAGGAGAGGGTCGCCTGATTTAGAGAGCAGAGGGTCGAGCCCATGGTGGAGCGCGCGGTCCAGGCAGGCACTCCACAACAGCTGCATCCACAACAGCAAGGCGTAAGATCACCAGCCCCGCAGCGCGAGGGCCGCACGCACCGATGCTGAAGGTGTCTGAGCAGTCTGCGCACACCACGCGGTGGACGGTGGGCGCGTGGATCAGCCCGATGCAGCGCGGCGCCCTGCGGCACACCACACACAGCCGCTCATCTGCAAGCCCAGGTGCACCGGCCCCAGGCACAGCTGCCGTGGTAACGGCGCGCCGCAGCGGGGCTGCGGCCGGAGGCTGGGCATGCTGCTGGATTGGGGTGGCCGCAGCTGGCCTGATTGGGGCTGGCTGCGGCGTGAGGGCCGCCAGGGGCACCAGCGGAGGGGTGGACGCAGGCGGCGCGGTGGCAGCCACGCTGTGGCGCATGAGCGCTTCCGTCACCCACGGCAGCCCGGATGCCACCAGTTGGACGGCAGCGCTACTTGTGGCTGTCGCATGCCCCGCCTGCACCTGCCGCTGTGGGGAGCGCAGCGGCGCAGCAGGCACGCTGTGCGCCGCGGCGGCCGCTGCCTCTGCCGCCGCCTCGGCTGTGGGCATGGCGCTGACCAGGGCAGCCGGCCGGCGATGAGCAGGGCTGGAAGGGGAGGTCTCCGAGAGAGCAGCCGTCGGTGCAGCCAGTGCTGGGGGCCGAGGCCCTGGCTGCGGCGAGGTCGGCACGGCCTTGCCTTTGGCTGCCCCCTGTTGCTCGCCGCGGCCTGCATCGACCAAGTGCTGTGACGTACCTTTGGCAGAGCCCTCGGCAGCAGCCGCGGTGGGCCCCGCAGTGTCGTCAAACCGGGTGACGAGGCTCAGCTGGTCAGAACAAGTTGACAAATGGCTGTCTTGGAGCGGCGCGGTCACCCGACCTGCTGACACCGCCGGCGGAGCAGACTGCGGCTTCCTTTTGTCAGCAACAATCTCCACCCGCTGCTGGTGGTGGTGGTGGTAGCGCTGCATTGAGTCACGGTCGCTGTTGCTGTCGGCGCTGCCTGTTTGTGTGAGAGGCTGTGCTGCAGGGCGCTGCTGCTGCTGCTGCTGCTGCTGCTGCTGCTGCTGCTGTTGCTGTTGCTGCTGTGATTGCTGGAGGTCACGGCGCTTGGTTTGCTGCTTCTTGGTGCCGCCGCGCGCCTGCTGCGGTGGTGTGCGCTGCGGTTGCTGCTGCTGACGCACCTGTTGGCCAATGCTGCTCTGCTGCTCCAGCCGCCGTTGCTTCCTGTGCTGCTGCTGCTGGGTGACGCGCGAGTCGCGCCACAGAGCCAAAACTCGCCGCGGCCACGTGATCACGCCCACGACTAGAGCCCGCAGCTTGCATGCGGCAGCAAAGGGTGCCAGCGGCGCCCCGCGCAGCAGCTGCCAGGCCGCCATGGCGTAGGCGGCCAGCTCTGCGACCACGGCAGCGCGCAGGGCGCGGCGGCGGTGGGGGTGGTGGTAGCCCGTGGCGATGAGGATGAAGGGCGCGGTGATCACCAGGAGCAGTGCCAGGGTCGCCGCAGCCTGGGTGTCCGGGAAGGAGGCCGACCATACAAGGAGGCGACGGGGGGTGCAGGGTCGGCGTGTCAGGAAAGGTTGACGCAACAGCCATGGGACTGTGTGGGGGTACGGGACACGAGCACCCTGCGCCATCTATAACGCCGCTCTGCTCAGTGCCACAATCGACGTCAGAGGCCTCTGTTGGCCTCAGACCCCAGGCAATGGCGCCTACGTTACCCACCTGCAGCGCGGCCGCCATCATGTCTGTGGCGACCGCTGACCACCCCACCCACGGCCCCATGTTGGGTGAAGCCCCCAGGGGCTGCTCGAGGTCCAGCAACGCCGAAGACGGCGGGAGGACGGGCGGTGCCGGCACACCAGGCAGTGTCGAGGCGG